TATCAAATCACTACATAAAATAGCAAAACAGAGATTAAGAAAACATTATGTTGATTATACAATGACTTGATGATATGTTTGATTGATGACAGGTTGAAATCAAACTATTTCGAAAAAAATACTTCGAGGTGACTACCCCCCAAGACATCCTGTCATCAGCAGCGCTCATCACAAAGAGTGGTGTCGTTTATGAGCACAGGTGGCACACGAAACGGGGGTTCGGTTCTTACAACGGCACAGAAAATGTTGCACACGCCCGGAATATGGAAAGAGTTCGGACAACGCGCGCGCCGGATCCCAGGTACTTCGTTGACGGTGAGCTGGAATTTCCACATAGTAAACATTCGTGTCGTAAAATCAACTTCCCTACATGTATTTTTTACAAGTTACAAGATACGACAATCACACGCATGTCTTAGAATACTGCACAAGGTGGCATGATGATGTTAATGAATACATGTACATGTATGTTATATATGACGGGCACTGGTGATCATATTTCTTGAAAGCAGAGCTGAAGGGAATAGTCCCACGTAGGGCGTTCTTATTGTTGGCTGCTTTTGCCTTTTTGTGCAAACAGATGACAGCTCAATGGGTGAGAACTTAAAGAGAAAATTTGCCGAGGTCCTGGAAAACCTGGACGAAGTGATCATGACCTCAAGGGACACACAAACAGGCTGCTACCTTATGGTGAAGGAGTCCCAAGCTCCAGTGGAAGATCGGGTAAGAAAGCAGTATATGTCAATAATCAGAAGGAAAATGGCGATATTGATACATCGGTCTCTCATCACCACCTGGTGTTTGTGTAATCAACAATAGAAAAAGTATATTAGATATCAGCAGAGTAAGTCACATGTCTTCATTTTTGAGCCACATGTAGCAAGTACATTCTTTGAAAATGAAACTGTTCAAGGGAAAACAAGACAAAAAAAGTTGACTCAGGCATGATTTTGCAACAGAAAAAATGTAGCAAGATCCCGTAGCCAAGGCATGTATCACTCAGAATCATTTACCCCAGAATCATCATCCCGAAACACAACTTTAAACATTATCACTGTCAAACTTTTTCTGCATCTTATCTGTCATACTAGCTAACTAACATGGAACAGGAGATTGCCAGGCTTCGGGAGATAATCGAAACTTACGCAGAGCGCGAAAAAGAGGTCCAGGCTCTTGACGGGAAGTATCAGGTTTGTGCCTACAATTCTCGTTTCCATCAATTTCAAGCTTTTTGCATCACTACTTCACGGAGGTTTGTGTTCAACAGACTCTTGTTTTATTTTCCTACAGGCATCTCTACAATGAGACGCGACCACTTTGTAACATTTGAAACAAACCTTAGCTTTTTTTTAGCTTATCAAAGATTGGACTATAGCAAATCAATTAATCACATGAAACTGTATTTATTACAGAATGTTACCAAGGCTGTCGACGAACTGCGAAGGGACTATGAACAGCTACAAAGGGACTTCAACCAATATCGCGTGGACATGTCGAACAGTTTGGTGAACATTCCGTTCGACCAAGTCAACTTGATATTTGAACGACAAAACAGATTGACCTGCGAGGTAAGTTTTACCCCGTGGTATATTGCTAAAAAGGTACCGAAGACCGTCAATGACATATCAGACAAATGCATTGTCTGGCTAGTAAAGCATAACAGTCGGTACCGTGATACACTTTGCATGTTTACATTTTGAATATCAAATGTTATCATTAATCTATTTGTCTCGTCTTCATATTCCATTGCTTATCAATTCATAGAGGGATTGGAGGGAGAGAGTGTGGGACCGGGAACCCCCAACCTGATGATGATGATGATAGCTCGCTTGCACATTTGTGTGTCTGTCAAGAATAGATAAACCGAGATAATTTTGACATTTTAGTGTCACTTTTGTAATACAATTGGAAAATGTTACACACAGTGGCATCAATCAGACACCGACGCTAGTGTTTTAGTTTATTATGGCTAGGGCCACGTTTCCAAACCGGAGCCCGTCGGACTGTTTGCATGAATAATGAATTACAATTCATATTGTTTTTTGTAATATATGTTTTGTTACCACAAACTGCCCGACCAGCCTCTTAGCATTACCCAGGTTATGGAAGAAAATACCTTGAAATGTTTCTTTTTTTTTTTACTTCAGGTTGATGAAATAAACGCAAGGCTGCAGAACCTGGAGCGGCTGCAGTCCCCACAGGAATCAACTTGAATATCGGGAAACACCTTTACGGGGTGGTTTTTGAATGGTGGTGAGATGTCTGAAATTAATATATGAATAAATACAAGTCCATGTGCAAGAAAATTTTGATATCAACTACATAATATTATCTAAGTAATTTAAATTGTGGATTATGTGTAATAAAAAAATGATACACTCAATGCGCTTAAGATTTGTCATTTAATCTGTTCAAGTCGATGTTTCAATACAAGATTTAAACAGTGTTGCAGGAAGAATAGCTCTATTCCATGAAAAAGAGGGATTTTACTCTCAAGTACAAGAAAGTAGGTAATCATGCTTTACTTCATTTTCTTACCAATCACTTCAATTCTTCACTGTACATACAGTAAACAATAATATTTGTCAAGCCTTTGGCCAAATAAATTTGCATAGTACTAGGGATAAATTTCAAATTTATCTCTAAAAGAAATAGTACAACTTTGCATCAAACAAAAGCAAATATGAATTACAATTATCACTGAAATCAACCTCCCCCTCCTCTGAGCTTTAACAATGTGTAAGTTCAACCATACAATGTATATATGTAGGAGTCTATACATGTATGTATCATTCATAAATGAATTTATAGCAGATCTATCCCAATGATAATATCCAATCATCTTTAGAAGATATGAGTTATCAATGATTTTTCTGGTGATCAACAACAAAATGGGTTAACTTTCTAGATCTGAAGAATTGCACACTACATAGACCTGAGGGTGATAATTGCAGTCAATGATTTTATCATCGCAGTGTTATGATTTCATATTATATTAGGCTCTATATACATTTGTAGCATGTATTATGTCATATCCAACAAAGAGTGTGAAAACTTGATAAGATTTAAATCCGCAGTGAGAAAACCTCTGATTCAAACAACTACCCAGCATTGGCACTACATGTCCTTTGCTTCTTAAGCCACAACTGTAATGTCAAATTTTTCTAATTAATTGGCTAATCTCAAAAAGATTTCTTCAGGAGCAAGACACTTCAGTTCACCAGTCCTTAACCAAATGGTCTATGGGTCCAACTGGTTACATAGTGGTAGCATTCATTCCTTGGTCTCGTAGGACCATAGTGTCTTGGCCCTGAAGAAATCTGCTTAGAGATAATGCTGATTGGCAGCAGGTGTGCAGGGATATGTCAGGATCCCTTTATAACCAATACATTGTAACACATAGTCTTAGGCCACACCAATTTATTTCCTTGGTTAACGGATTCGCCGCTTCGTTTTTTTGCCAAAATGAAATAAAAATAAAAACAGAACAAAAATCCATACTCTCGGGTCCCGAATTGGGGCCCCAAAATCCACCCCGTACGTTGTAATTTTTCAAAATTTGGGCATAGTTAACAGCGTTAAAAATACATTGCTTCAAGGCAGAAACATTTTTCTGAGTGCAATTTGTTCGGAAAGCCAGGTTGCCTCTTCAAAAGTTCGTCAAAAAAATTCTTTTGATATAGAACTCGCCCCCCACCCCTTTGCACATGTCACCATTCATGGGACAAAACTTCACTGACGACAGTCAAACGTACGGCAGATTTACTAAGTCACCTGTAACAACATATCATCTCCCTTTTAGATATATATTATATTTCATTTAGAAACACGTATTGTGTCGGAAGCATGTGCTAGTAACGGGCGTTAAAAGTAATCGGCCGAACGTATAAACTCGGCCTGGGAGGCACATGCAAACACACCTTCAAAACGATCTTTTTTCCAGGGAATATGTAAAAATAACACGACATAACAATGTATTCTGGCATCACAAACTGTATTACTCTCAAAAAGTACAAAATCCTACCACAAACATGGGAATTTGGCAAAGTAAAAAGTCCTCCATGCACGTACATGTAAGTCCATTCACAAAGCAACTTTCTCGCGGTCGGAAGAGTCCACTTCGAGTAGGGGGAAACAGGATCTTTTAATTATAGAAATTACTCTGTGAAAAGCACTACATGTGCATGTGTCATTCTAACAAAGTTACATCTTATTAGATTTAGATACCTATAAACAGGAGTACAATTGCAAATAATGCATCAATTATTACATCTAAATTTTTTTAATAAAATGGTCCCCCCTACAAATAAAAATCCCCATACATCAAAGACTTTATAGTGAAACCCTAGACCATTGAATTTGTGGCAACTTGAAGAGTGTCAATGTGGCTATTTGTTTGAATGATGGCTATGTATAATGTAAATGGGAAATATAAAATGTATTTGGGAATTGGGGAAAGAAATAAAATATCTGTAAAAGTAGTTAATTCTTTTTCCAATAACTTTTACACATTCCTGGAAATTTGTCTAAAGCATATATTTAGGATTCCATATCAGCCAGACACAACAGAATGCCCAGCCCAGTGGTAAGCTGTGTGCCCTGAACTAAGAAAACAATGGGATCTGAACAGAGCACCCTGATTTAAACCACTCTTTGGAACTTTGAAAGATGAATAAAAGTGAAACCAGTTGGATGGGAGTCTTGTCAACTGACAGTTTGTTGTTCATACAGTAAAGATGTGTATCTTGCAAAATAATACGAATAGTTGTAAAGGGATGTAAGAGAAGTTGCTCATGTACATGTAGTAATGGTCCTTTCAGTTCAATAAGTGTCTAATATAATGTCTTATATCATTTTGTAACTTAACTTACTGGATTGCTTACTACATGGCTGTATGGCAGGTGGTCTCAAATTTTTATTTTTATTTTTTTTTCGCCCGCCCGCTCCATTTTTTTTCTGGAAAAATCCGTTAACCAAGAAATCAAATTGGTGTGGCCTTATCTTCATCTGTTAGGTTCTGAAGCAAGTTTAAACCATAATTTCCAACACAAGAAACTGGGGGTGCCACAGTCTTTCTAGAACCTATGATCCACTGCTCGCAAGTCATCTGCATAATGTGACGTCACTTCTCATTTCTTTCACTCTTCATTTCAAAGACTGGAGTTGCACAGTTGAAAATTTGCGCATAAGTCCAATTTCTCGTGTTGGAAAATACTAGCCTGGGATCCATCCCTACCAGCTGTTTGCCAGTTTTAGCAGTCGTACAAGTGGCAGTGACAACTAGAACAAGCAAATAGCTCGTAGGGATGGATTCCAGGCCAGGAAACTACAGTTCCAACTTGCTTCTGTAAAACAATCTTATGGGGAGCCTTGCCTACACCTTGACATACGTGGCGTCCGTGGCCACCCCACAGTTGTTGTCCTGCTGCGAGATGAGGACGTATCCGTTGTCGCCCCAGTGTGTGGACCAGGAGTTCTTAATGAGCCAGTAGTCCTGCATCTTCCCACTGCTGTCGGGCATGCTGCCATACCCCACAGCCAGAACTGCGTGGTCCAGGTCCTCGGGGGTGTTTCCTACGGGCAGAACAACATGTCAGTCATCTGAAAGAACTGCAACAATGCATATTTTGCCTATTGCAGACAATGTCTTTTCCGACACCGCATTTGACAACTAGAACAGCCAGAACAGCATGGTCAAGGTCATCAGGGGTGTTTCCTGATGGGAGAGCAACATGTCAGTCAACTTAAGTCTGTACTGTCTGAAGTAACTGCAACAATGCATAAGAATTTCGCCTATTGCAGACAATGTCTTTTCTGACACCACATTTGAAAACTAGAACAGCCAGAACAGCATGGTCAAGGTCATTGGGGGTGTTTCCTACAGGTAGAACAACATGTCAGTCAATCTGGGCATGTACTATAGTAACTGCAACAATGCATAAGGATTTAGCCTATTGCAGACGATGTCTTTTCTGACGCTGCATTTGACAGCTAGAACAGCCAGAACAGCGCGGTCCAGGTCCTCTGGGGTGTTTCCTGCAACAAAGCCAGAGGTCTGCATTAAACCTAGCCTGGATACTACTCAGGTTAGTTTACGTCCGCTCCAACAGTCGTTGGTGAGTACCGACTATCAGAGCGGATGGTTCATCTGTCCCAGCAGAACCAGAGCAGTTGGTACGTACGTACAATGTAGGCTATGTGATTTTGCACAGGTTTCATTGGATGTTTGCCCAACAGAATTTAACCTGTTGCTGATCTTTTCCAACACAATATTTCAAAACAGTACTATAGACCAAATGTAATTCTTAAATACGCAAATAGGAACAAGGTCAAATTTCATACGAATGCTACCAGTAGTTTTGGATAAATGCAGCAAACATCTACTCCCATGTCAGAGGTTTAGCAAAAAGCAGTCCAAACTCTACACGTACCACAGTCCTTGTCGTAGTAGACACCGTTGGCGTAAAAGCTGAAGGTCTTCACAGCAGCGTCAATCCCAACAGCGGTGGGACCCATGTTGGCCAGGGCCATCTTCAGAGCAGTTGCGTTTCCGGAGGTAACGTTCACGTAACCAGTTATAGTAGCTCCAACGTGCTTGGGGTCAAAATGACACTTGCCGTCCTGTTCGGAAATATAGAAGTGTAATGATTACGTAAGATAGGAGCAAAATTAAAGAATGTTGCAAAGTTAGCATTTCTATAATTTCATAATAGTAATAACTGACACCTTTTTTTTCTGCATATAGTTGTACACAAATGTTGGCTGGCCTAAAGTGTTCTGAATTCAGTTGCAGTTCCTTTTTAATTACTAACAGTGCTTCCAACTTGCAGTAGTTAAAACTTTACTAAAAAGACCTCTAATGAAACATCCATCTCAATGGTTGCTAAGAACCTTTCCAGTTCCATTCTTTTATTTCCACAACACTTAACTTGTACTTGACTTTTTGTATGACTGGTTTGTATCTCTTCAAATGCTAAATGATTTGTATGATCTACCCTAAAGGGTGGTAACATCAGGCGTTTTTGATTTAAAAAAAACAAAAACTCACAGCTCCCGTGTAGGGTCCGTACTGAGAGGCCCTTGCGATGCCGCCATGTTTCATCACCCATTCGTACGCCCTCCACTCCTCACCACCATCACAGGCGTTGTTTCCGTAACCCCAGGAACAGTCCATCAGGTTCTGCTGGGACAGGTGGACCAGCAGGCCAGTCTGGGGGACAGAAGGACAAGGTGCAAATGTTAGCCTTGGAGTGTGGGTTTACTCTGCCAGAGTATTTATATATAGTGTGATTGTATGTGTAAGCCCGTCCATACCTAGTGACTGCACAGATAGGTACAGCCAAACCTATGCAAATGACCACCTCTACATAAGGGCCACCTGGCCATTGTGACAATGTTTTGTTGGTCCCTAAGATAGTTTTTTTATTGACGCAAGCATTAAGAATCCTGTCTATAGTGACCTGGACCTGTCCACATAGACCAGATTTTATCAGTCCCCTGGGTGGTCTTCTTGGGCAGTTTTGACTGTACTGAAAGGTTGTAGCAAGCTATCCTCTCCTTGGTACTGACTGGCTATTACTAGTACATACAATGTTAACATATCTTGTGTCTAAGAATCTGTCTTAGGCAGTTTTGACTGTACAGAAAGATTGCAACAAGCTATTGCTGTGTCCATCCTCTCCTTGGTGCTGAATGGCCATCATCTAAAAGTATCTATAGATTGATAGCAAGGAACTATTCATGTTTTCTTTTAAATCTTGTCACTCCACTGAATGTTTCAAGTACCTTAAGGAACCATGCTCCCTCGATGGCCTCAGCAGCACCGAAGCTCCAGCAGGACCCGCAGACGGCCTGGTCTTTCACCGGGGTCACCGCACCTGGGAACAAGAGTGGTTACAGGGTCAGAGCTACCCTGGGAAAGAGACCTACAAAAGTCCACTTTTTGGTGGTCCCTATAGACATTTTTTTCCTATTGAAATATATACAATATTTGAAACTTAAAGAAACCTATCCATAGTGATCACATGTACACATAGACCAATGTTATGGTCAGTTTTGAATGTGAGGTCAATCCTGTACTAGTGACCACCTCTACGTAAGGACCACCTGGCAAATGTTCCCACTTTTTGCTGGTCCTTTGGATAACTTTTCCCATTGACACAAACATTAAGAATCCTGTCCATAGTGACCACCTGTCCACATACTTAGATTTTATCTGTCCCGAGTAGTCTTCGTGGGCAGTTGTACATTAGTGACCCCCTCTACAGAGCGATCTGACTTGGCCAATGTGCACATTTGTTGTTGGTCCCTTAGATAATATTTCCCTTTGACATTAAGAATCCCATCTACGTGTACATGTATAGTGACTACCAGTCTACACACACCAGATTTTATCACTCCCAGGGTGGTCTATACCTCTGATTGCCCAGTTGATGTGGTCGGGAATGTCTGTCAGTTCGAACTCCTCTTCGTCAAACGGCAGTCCGTTGTTGGGCTCAGGGCTTTGTGATCACCACTACATAAAGACTATTTGGCCACTGTAACCACTTTTGGTGGTCTCTTAGATAATGTTTCCCATTGATAAAAGCAGTAAGAATCCTCAACAAAAAAAAACAGTTACTCAAGCAACTGGATATGATTTTGTTGCTTTGGGGGGCGTCTCTTATTAATTACCTGGATGTCTAACCTTCACCAACGTAGCAGTAAGAATCCTGTCTATGGGGTCCACCTGTCCACACAGACATACCTCTGATTGCCCAGTTGATGTGATCGGGAACGTCCGTCAGCTCAAACTCCTCTTCGTCAAAAGGCAGTCCGTTGTTGGGCTCGGGGCTGTAGGTCCGCCCCCGCATCATCTTCAGCTCGTCGTCCGTGCGGTCGGCCAGGTGGTTGATGGCCAGGGTGTAGCCCAGGTTGGCTCGGTTCTTAGAGTGGACCAACCTGAAAGAAGAAGAAATTGGAAAAGATTTTACACCTCTGTGTAGCATTTAGAGTTGTGGTAAACCTCCAATTTGCAGGTGGTTGATGGCCAGTGTGTAGCCCAGGTTGGCTCGGTTCTTAGAGTGAATCCGCCTGAAACAAGAAGAAATTGGAGAAGATTTTACACCTCTATGTAGCATTTAGAGTTGTGGTAAACCTCCAATTTGCAGGTGGTTGATGGCCAGTGTGTAGCCCAGGTTGGCTCGGTTCTTACAGTGAATCCGCCTGAAACAAGAAGAAATTGGAGTAGTATTTAGAGTTGTTGTAAACCTCCAATTTGACCTTCCTGTCAGTCTGCAGGTGGACCAGCTTGAAACAAGAAAATGGAAGTTTTCACACCAAATTTGTAGTTAGCAGGGAGAAGGTTGACATACATTTTGTGAAATAGACTGATTACGCTGACTTGACGTCTGCAAGAGGGACTAGCAGGCTCTTGACGTTGACTCAGAGCACTGGGCTGTCTGGGAGAACCTTGCCAACGTCCAACCCAGCTGGATCTGGTAACTGTATCCGTTCATCTTGTTTTGTTGTGACCTGTACTTAGCCAAGTGTGGCAAAAATGTGCAATAAAGGTCTTCATTCATTCAATACTGACCGAAGGGGGCCATGTACATCTATGTATAGTGGGGTCGTGTGGCGCAACGGCAGCGTGCATGACTCGGAATCAAGAGGTCCCGAGTTCGAGTCCTGACATGCCACCGATCTTGTGCCCTTGCGAAAGGCCCTTTACACGACTTTCCCCACTAGATTCAAGTGAAAATGAGTATTGTCTGTCCAGTATTCGTTTCTATGTGCGGGACACAACACCAGCAACAGCTGCCTCTGTTCCGCCTGCATTGCATTGTTGCAATTTCAATAAAATAAAATAAAAAATAAATACAATAAATAAAGGAAATGCAGAGTCACCTTGAGTTGGTTGTGAAGACGCTGTGCCTCTGAGCGTGCTCCCTGCTGCCGTCCTGGTACGTCCTCCCGTGTTTCTGACGGTACTCCCGGAACAGCTGGTGGGTGCGGTCGTTGCCACGGTGATGTTCCATGAAGTCCTTCATGGGGTTAAAGGTCATGTGGTGCTCCACCCCGGGTCCAGGGAAGTCTCCGCACTTCATACCTGAAAATGTATTTCAAAAAACCCTACAGTCCAGACCTTACAGCTTGTACTTACATGTACAAAACTGGTGTGTTACGCCTTATGGCGGTTTACCGGTTATGCGAAACAAACAAACAAAAAAATAAAAAAAGGGCATTCAAAGTTACTGTAATCACTCTGGCCATACATTTGTAACTAGGGGTTACTAGAACTATGATGGACAGAAAGAAACCCTTACAGTATTGGTGGTAGATACAAAAAGTGGAATGTTCTGATGAACATCAACCTCTGACATGCAAAAGGAAAACTAACTTTGTGTTAAAGTCTTTTAGCTGTAAGTTGTGTTAGGTGTGTATTGTAATGCTGCATGCATACACATGTATGCACACACTGTGCTTTAATTTCCAGTATGGAGATGAAAAGGACTTGGTGCCATCCTATTTGTATACCAAGGCTCCCGTACTTGCTACATATTGTAGGAGTATGTGAGGCAGAGCCCCGATATACAAAGAAAAACAAGTTTGACTTACAACATTCAAGAAAGTGTACTATATCATTTCTATCAATCGTTTGAAGGAACATAAATATACCTTTTGGTATCTCGAAGTCACTCTCTGCCACCTCTGAGCTGAACATGGTGTATTCCAGCAGGTACTCATCGTAATGTGAGCCAAGCAGACTGTCGTAACCCTTCATGTAGTAGGCAACAGGCTCCTCAACCTTTAGATTCAAGATTAAGAATTAAAAGTTAAAGAGCCTTCCCGCGTCAAGTGACGCATAGGGCGGTGCCCATCTCCGTCCATTAGCCCTGGGCCACACACAGCAGTCACTACAGCAGGGGGCTAGTCCACTGGTAGTGGTGTCCATACTCTTTCCCAAATGTTGAGTGCTAAGCAGAGAAAGTAGTATGTACCATTTTTAAAGTCTTTGGTATGACTCGGCCGGGGATCGAACTCACGACCTACCAAATGCAAGGCGAGCACTCTACCCACTTGGCCAGTGCACCGGTTTCAAGATTCAAGATGTCTTTATTGAACTTTCGCTGTGGACAACTTTCGAAGTCGTCACTGAATTGCAGTCAACTTACAGTTTTTCACACTGACATATAATTAATATTGCACTTAATTTTGATTCATACAATTGACAAAACTTGAAATGATAACAAAAAAATGTAACATGTTTAAAGTTAAAACTTTTGGTCCAACACAAAAAATTCTCTCACCTAGAGCTTTCGACCAGTCACTCTGGTCTTCCTCAGTAGACTGACCCAGTGAAGCTTGTCACGTGGCTTCTTTGAACTGTGACGTCAAGACTGGGTCAAAGGTATCTGGTAGACGATGTCGGCCCTTTGACCCAGTGTTGACGTCTGGCTTCACTGGGTCAGTCTACTGAGGAAGACCAGAGTGACTGGTCGAAAGCTCTAGTCTAGGTGAGAGAATTTTTTGTGTTGGACCAAAAGTTTTAAATTTAAACATGTAACTACCAACACAGATGAACTTTCATGATAAAAAAATGTAACCGTTACATTAGTACTTGTAATTGTTTAGTTACAACATTTAAAACCTTTATAAAATTTGCACACACAATATTCCAAGTGATTCAGTCCATCATGGTTTAAAATAGATAAATAAAATAACTGTACATGTACCTTCCCCCTACTCATGTACAGGATGTAGGTGTTGTTCTTGTTGCCGCCACCTTCCACAGTTGTCAGCATGTAGGCAGTGCAGTCTAGTCCCTTGTAGGGGTAGGGGCCGAGTCTCTACAGTTTTAAGAAATGTATGAAATTAAAACGATCAGCGTCAGGCAGAAATTTCACCTATTCATATTCATATTCATCTGAATCCAGGTCAGTCAGTACCCTTTCCCAGGGTAATGAGACCATCCAAATAGTTAACACAGTACTGGCAGTTCAGTCACTTCAGTGTGAAAACTTGTAGCCGTAAGTTAACGGTCCGGGTGGTGTTTCCATTCCACTTCCAGTTTGGCCTTGAACTTGAAGGCATTGACTGAACTACTGTTCACTGTTGCTGCTACAGCTCTGCTGCTATAATTTCAGTATATTGCAGTACATACAAAGAACAAGCAATGGTTGATTTTGAATCTAGAATTTTTAAATCAAAAATTCTAGCTAGCTAGAGCAATAAAGCATCTGTTTGATTAAAAGCAGCCAGTAGGCTGATTTTAGTTTTTTAAGAGTAAACGAAGGCTGAAAATGCTTACAGTGAAGTTGGTAGTATCCGGGAGTATGGACTGAGGCATGACGGGATTTTTGGGATCACCGTTGATCTGGAAACACGTCTTTTGGTTGGTGACCTTCTCTGTCGTCATGTAGGCCATCTTGTACATGGCGCCTCCCTTTGCATCGCTCTTCTGGATAGTCGACATCATGTCTTAACAAGTCATGTGGAAAGAGAAATATATTATTAAGGATTTTCTCCAGTTAGATATACATGTAACAATATGTGTTGATTTCCGTAAATAATTTCATCAGGTTGGAAGATACTTAGGATATAGAATTTTCTTCTTACACAACCATAGAGTTTCTCACCTGCTTACGTTTCGATGTCTATCAGACACATTGGCGTTAAATAGCGGCGAGTTGCAGAACTCCAGTCAGAAGCTCTGAGGAAGGTGTCTGATAGACATCGAAACGTAAGCAGGTGAGAAACTCTATGGTTGTGTAAGAAGAAAATTCTATATCCTAAATATGTGTTGATGTTTGCGTCTCTTATTAAGTTTCTGACAATCCTCTTCATTTAACTTTTCAACAATTCAACAACGTGTGAAGCATCACTCTTCTGGATAGTCAACATCATGTCTGATCAAGTCAAGTGAAAAAAAAAACATTTTATGATTTTACTCAAGGTTTTCCCCAGTTGGATATAATAATAAGTCTTAATCTGTTGACACATATAAATTTCTGATAGACCTCTACATTCAACATTCATCAACATTGCATATGTCTTCAAATAATTTGCATGTATATATACATACAAAAACAGCAATCACTTATACAAAAAATATGAAATAAATACAAGGGCTTAAAGTGGCGTCATTGGCGCAACGGTTAGTGTTGGACTCGGAACCAATTATAGCATAGGTCCCGGGTTCGATACTCACCATGGCCCGACGTTGTGCCCTTGGGAAAGGCACTTTACACGACTTCCCCACCATGTACGGTGGAGTGACGCCCACCGAGCCTCTTAGGCTAATTGTCTAACTGGGTGCCAATAACACCCTACGGATTTGGTGCACCAATGTGTCGACATCAGCACATTTGCGACCAAGAGCCGTAATTTTTTTTTTAAATGAATGAATGAAGACCTTTATTGTACATTTGTGTTCTACATAACTAAGTACAGTAATGCATGATGTACAAAATGACTAATAAACTGGTGGATGTATCAACTACTGAGTACCTAATACCAGCCCAAAAGAGAACAAGAAATAGCCACGCATTCAAGTACCAGAGTTATCAACCAAGGATTGAGGTGTTCAAGAATTCATTCTTTCCTAGAACTATCGCAGAGTGGAACTCACTGTCACCAAGTACAGTTGGGGCATTGTCAATAGATAGCTTTAAACAATGTCTAGCGCTAGAACTTAGTAGAAGTTCAAGGGTTAGGTCTAACAAGTCGATCGGTGTAATATAGCCAGCTGCCGCCGCGCCGCGTGCCTACGAAGCTGGTGTGTTACGCCGAAAGGCGGTTATACCGGCTATACAGATACAGATACAGGTCGCATGGGTATAGAACATGAACATAAACATAACATACATATGAACATATAAGAGTATAATACAAGGGCTTACCTCCATAGTAATCAATCCTGCTCATGCCAGCCTTCTCGTTGTACCAGGCTTCAAACGGCTCCTTGATTTCGGCGTAGGGAAGAGTGAGAAATCCCTGCACATGGTACATGGAGGGCATTTTCACCGCACTGGTGCAGGCCAGGCCTAATCAAAGGGGGAAAAACACATTGACATATTTAACTTATGTTACATGTAACAAGTTACTACATACATTGGACCCAGCCACAACAACAGACTTAGTAGAGGGCCTGCATGGGGGGGGACAAGTATATGCCTTATTATGAGAGCTGGCTACATATAACGCTGAATTCAAGAAGCCTCCCCATTGCGTTTTACGATAAATTCTGGGTAGCTACGACGCATTACGCAGAATTAAAATGGCGAATTACGCTCTACGCAAAATGCGCTGATTACGCTGTACGGTGCATTAGAGCAGTCCATCTATGAAATGGTGGATTCCGCTCTACGGAAAAGGGCATGAATTTATCGTAAATCGTAATCAAGAGGTTTCTGGGATTCAGGGTAATACGTAGCCGGCTCTCAAAATTTAGCGTAGAGCGTTGTCGGGACCCCCCATGAAGGCCCCCTTCAATAAATCCTGGTTCAAGAAGTCACTATAGCATGTTGATATGCAGGGTATATAGGTGCATGCAAACACTACTTTAATATAATATATGTATATTTTACACATTCACTAGACAGCGACCAAAATTGGATTTCTGCAACCCTTGGTTTTACAATAATTTTTTATTTGTGTAACAGTCGGTTGGAATATGATAACACGGATAGCAACACTAAAGTAAACTTTAAAAGGCATTTCTGTTACTAACTTTGTAATATCTGAGTAGCCGTGGCAACTCAACTGTTAAGGGCTCCATTCACTTGCAGTTTCATATTAATACAACGGGCTCAAGTACATGTATGTCAGACAATTAATAATACGAGACTTCAAGAAAATAGTAGTACGGTATCCCTGCATGCTGCAACAGTTACTATGGCTAAAGCAGTCTCACATTATTTAATGCTTTATGACCTGTATTTCCACGAGCAAGTGTTTCAAACACATTGTCACGGCATAAACGCACGAGAGAAGAGGAACTTAAGGACATATTTACCGGTGAAGAGCAGCAGAACGCACCACAACTTCTGTCCCGCCATGTTTTCTGTCCCTTTCTGTACGTGTGAGCGTCACGTGCAGACTTACGGAACTCGACTGTACCATGTTGTAAAGGGGGGGGTAAATTTATTCCTTTTTTATATGACCACATTAAAACGTTATTACAAGACAAAAAAGATTAACAACTACTTTATTTAATTTATTTTGATGATTTATTTGATAAAATATGTTTCAAATCGATGGCAAAGCTACATGCTCACACACGTATTCTACCCTTGGTCCCTATGTACAAATGGTTGAGTGTGCGCTTAGAGTTCGATGACCCCGTTTGGGTGAAGCTAATCTCCAAGCAGATGCTACGGTGGCAAGATAGTATCCTTTGGCCATTAGGCCAGAAGCAGGTCTTTTTATGGATTACATCCATTACATAAGAAGGCGATGTGTAATGGGAAATATGATAATTAGCTATGTATGTATGTACAGATGTGCCATTGGGTCAAAGATTAGCCTCAGTCAGTACCAGACCGCTGGAAAAATAGTAGAAATTGGCCGAAATAAAGGGGTAGGGATAGTATAGGGGAGTCAGTTAACCGACCAGAGAGGATCCAATATGCTATCCCTTTATTTCGGCCAATTTCTTCTATTTTTCCAGCGTTGCAGTGCCTGGTAGAGGCTATCAAAGATGTCACTACGGATTAATCGCATTACAAGGACCAATTTTAGTCCAGTAACGAAAACAAAGTGACAATGGAAATTGTTTTATGTTGTCATCATCATCATCATTCATCCTCCGTAGAGGTGGAGCATACAAAGTTAGTTCGCCACAACTGTCTGTCATACATCACTGAGAAAAGTTCATGTCCCTCCAAGCCAGTTTCAGTTTCAATAAGTTTCTTAACTGTTATGTTTGGGCGTCCAACTCTTCTCTTACAGGTATCAGGGTTCCAGAGTAGAAGCCTACTGGCTGGTTCTTCACTACGTATTACATGACCGGCCAAGCTTAGACGTCGACATTTGACTACTGAAGTTACATTTGGTAGCGAACCGTATAACTGTTCATTAGTAGTATGTTTCCACCATGGTGTATTGAAAACCACTCGCAACATCTTCGTGTATGTTCCGTTTAGTTTTCTAGAATGTGACATATTCATGACCCATGATTCTGACCCATACAAAAGAATTGTTTCAATACATGCCTTAAACACTTTGATCTTAGTTTGTTTTCTAATGTTGTCATCAATAAATTTAATGCTGTGCACGTGCCACGAATTGTAAGATTTTTCTAGTTTCAAAGCAAATACCGACGATTTTATAATAAGTTTCGTAACACATGTAACGTTAATCTGATACACATCAAGTTACGATAAATAGAAATAATAATTTTCTGACTAGACGTCAAACAATAAAAATGAAGGTTGCATGGTAGGTCGATATGCTAATTAAAACCTTGATACACGGTATAAGCATCGTCAGGTCATTTTCTTTGTTCGCAAGTATTTTTTATAGTAAAAGTCCAACAAGATCTCACATTTTCACATTAGAGTCGTACTTCACTCTCTAGAACTCTACATGTATGCACTGACTTTTCTCAAAATACATCCACGGTAGGGAATCTCCTAACCCCTGCTTCGCCTATCGAGTCAGGCAAACTTGCCCAAACCTAATGTTTCTGACTTAGGGAGAACAGATGCTGCTGCAGTGGGCATTAGTTAAGTGCCCAGAAGTGGCCTTAATGGCTTTACACCTTCAAATTCTTTTAAAAAAAAAACATCATTTTGGTCTTCATTCATTATACAGTACATGTATTTGTTTTAATTATTTGTCTAAAATCTTATTTACTATTCATAATTCATCATTTTATCCAACAACCAACAGATTGAATCAGGGACCTTTCTTACTCGTCACACTTTCTAAACATCAATACAAGTGCATTACAGAGCTCCATCCCTTATACAAGATTGACAAAAAATGCTAAATATCATCATTGCAAACCTTATGTGCCCAGTACCCAAAACAATCAACATCAGCTCTAAAGTTTCCTCCAAGAATCTTCTGAGACAGTTGCGGTCATTGCCATTTGAGACCGCGAACATTTACAAATCTCCATTCCTTTTACAAGATTGACAAAAAGTTGCTAAATATCATCATTACAAACCTTAATTTAAGAAAACCTCAGTAGACCTGCTAAAAAAAAACTTAACTTCAGCTCTTAAGTTTTATGTCCAGATTTCCGAAAATCTTCCGAGACAGTGGCGTCGAGGCGCATTCCGTGTCGAAACGGACGTTGCCACTAAAAACGGTCGATGCCATATCCGAGCGTATAATAACTTCTTTTCTTTTGAGAATCAAGAACATTAAAAAGGTATACAAGGGATTACTTTTAGCTGTTCAACACAAGGTCAACAGAATCATGAAAAATAGTCAAGATTTTATTTTTGTGAAAAAAAAGAAAGCACAAGCTCGGATTTTAACCCGGGTCAAAAAGCCTACTCCTAAAACCCTAATCTTCTACACCACGAAACATCACAGTATGGAGGGAGCGTGCTACTCGCACTACACTCTAAGTTTGCCGTTCTGGGACATGGCAAAGTGGCAACGGCCGTTTACAAGACGGAAATCAGCGGCAGTGAGAGCTCGGTGGTTGGTCTAGGTACGCCCTGTAAGGAGAATAAATGAACAAGATATAAACAAGAGTTCCTTGATCTCATTTACATTCACCCTCATTTACATAATCTATAAATCGAGATGTTCCTCTCATTCTCAATTACATATGTTACAAGTGTTCCATAGGCCTATGATGGAATACAGCAGATTTGTAGAAATTCCTCATTAAGTATGCAAATTAGCTCCTGGTTGCGTCAAGCATCACTTAAAAGCATCCAATGTAGTTTTTAGGGCTTGGAAACCCTAGTTTTTAAAGCCAATATTCTAGTCACTTATCTACATACTGAGTTAACACCACACTATCCCAGTGTATATTGACCCTCCTGCAGCAAAAATACCCAAAATTCCGACGAAAAATGGTTACTGGAAGGACCCTACTTGTTTCTTCAGTTTTAAATACCCCCAAAAAATGAAATACTGATTGAGATGTGCTAATGTAACGCAGTATGTGTGAATACCCTTAAGATTTTGTATGTGGAGAGACAACTGTCAGAGGTGCATATATGCACCTGTTTTGTCTCTCCTCCATGCTACTTCATGTTGCATTGGAAAGTCTAATAAATAAATAAATAAAATAAATAAATAAGATTGCCTTATTCAGTATATTTTCAGTTTTTATGCTCTGAAATAGGATTGGATGCCTTTAGGCTTTACCTACGTACTAAAATCATTACAATAAACATGAATACAGTTCATTGTGTGAAGTACCTGTAGTGACCTGACAGAAGGAGCGTCGTTTCCATTCGCATGGGGAGTCCGTCCACATGGCTCTACGGTTCGTGAAGTAATAAGAACTGACGCAATGGTGTCCTACAGGATGTCCATGATACCACGAGCTGTACTCGCCAAGTGCAGAGCCATCCACCCACTCATACTTTCCTTTCTCGCGCTGGTAGTGAAGCCCGATCCAGTAACGGTAGTTATTGCCTTGACTCTTGGAGAGTGAATGTAGGTAGGCGCTGGTCTCGTCGTCTCGGGGCATGGCCAGGGTGCCGCCGTCCTTGCGGCAGATCTGGTCCGCTTCGCTGAAGGTCTTTGGTGTGCTGAAGAACTTGTAGCAGGTTCCACGGTGCCACTTGGTATAACCTTCGGGACAGGGCACTACCAGAAATAAAACGTGTGTTAGTTTATTTTCACACACACACACACACACACACACACATATATATATATATGAGTTACAGATACGGACGCTGGTGTGCTATGCCGAAGGGTGGTTATACTGGCTATACAGATACAGAAGCTGGTGTGTTATGCCGAAGGGCGGTTATACCGACTGTACAGATACAGAAGCTGATGTGTTATGCCGAAGGGTGGTTATACTGGCTATATAGATACAGAAGCTGGTGTGTTATGCCGAAGGGTGGTTATACCGACTATACAGATACAGAAGCTGGTGTGTTATGCCGAAGGGTGGTTATACTGGCTATACAGATACAGAAGCTGGTGTGCTGCGCAGAAGGTTGTGTAAATACAGAAGCCGGTGTGTTCTGTATCTATATAGCCGGCATAACCGCCCTTCGGCGTAACACACCAGTTACGTTAAATGGCGGTTATACCGGCTATACAGATACAGAAACCAAACGTGAAGTGATGTGTCACCTCCAGTTGACTGGACGCGTCCGGCTGTTTGTGGATGTCCCGGTGGTCCAGCGGGGCAGACGGAGCGTCCCGGTAGACCGGGCGGCCCTGCAGGGCCCATCGGCCCCTGTTTTCCACGTGGCCCAAGCGACACAGGGCCAGCAGGCCCCATGGTCCCCTTTTCTCCCTGAGGACCAGCGGGCCCCTTTTCGCCTGTAGGGCCAGCCGGCCCCATTGCTCCCTTTGCTCCTGGAGGTCCAGGAGAACCTGACATAAGATTGGTGTAGTTTTAGTTACCTCCATGAAAAATGGAGGTATTGTTTTTGGCGGCGTCTGTCTGTGTGTCTGTGTGTGTGTGTGTGTGTCTGTGTGTCTGTGTGTCTGTGTGTGTTTCCGCAACTTTGTAGTCAGCATAACTTCATAACGCCTTTATGGATTGTGATGATATTTGGTATGCTGATAAGTCTTATGAAGACGAAGGTCAAGGTCAAATATGGGCCTCCTGGTGGATGACCTTGGTACTGCAGCAGAACTTCCGGTTTTTGTATCTTTGGACCTGAACATGCTATGGTCTTGAATTTTTGGTGACAGATAGTTTTTTCTGTCAGGAATAAGTGGTGTGGGTTTGGTCCCCCTAGCAGCTTGTTCAGGAACTGCAGGGGACTTTCGGGCGAAATCTTTGAAAGCCAATAAGTCCAGATAGGAACAGCGTATTTTCATCATTTTTGGTGTGTAGGTATCTGACAGAGAGCTGTACATAATTAACTGCAAATTATGCAAATGAGGACTTTATTTGCAT